CACCATTGAAGGAGAATTGAAGTTTTCAGTGTCAAATTCATAACCATATAATCTCAATAGTTGGGATTTGCTAGACCACTTAACAGCAAGTAGAGCCCGAATCTGCTCCGACTTTAGTACATAATCGCCCTGAAAGGAGCTATAGTCGTTGAAATAGTGCCAATGCAGCGAAAAAGTACCTTTCGGCGGTACTCGGGCAAAAATCCTCAACGTGGCCATTTTTTAAATAGTGGAACGTATTTAGCAGTTCTAGTAACCGTTAATAGAGCAAATCTTCTAGTTTATGATGACGTATTAACTTTCCAGATTGGATGAGTTTGAACGGAGTTAACGGAAACGGAAAGTGTAAAAACTCGCACTCATCATGAATTCCTCGTTAATTGATCTAAATTTGTTATTTCTCTTTGAATTTCATAATTTCATACTGAGAAAGAGCTCTTCACAAAACTCCAAATCTGCTTTCAGATTGAAAATTCGTCACTTTGAAGAAAGTTATAATCATTTGAATATTTGTTCAAATTTCAATAGTAGATAAGCTGCTCCACGGTCAACGCCAAAGATCCAATCAACACACAGCTGGCTTAAGGGGTTACAAGGTTTCCCTACTGGAAAAGCACCTTCCCTGAATTTTGATGCAGAGTCATGTAAATCATTTCCGTTATGCGGGAATGTGAGCCGTTGAACGTTTCTTTCAAAATCTTGGTTGGAAGAGCAATTTCCATGCCAAGAGTTCAACGATAGGTTGATGATATGATGGTTGACTCACCTCATTTTTTAGGGTTGGGTCAAAATCTCAGATTCGGTAGGAAACTTATCTCCAAGGGTAGTTTGATCTCCTGAACACGAATATCACGCCTGTTTGCCGCGAAAAAGCCTGACACGTGCATTACGGGCACCATGTTCATACATGGACGACTACTGCCCAAACCTGCAAGGAACTGCTCGAAATTTTTTCGTACAGGGAACTAACGGCAAAGTTGATAAATTAAGAAGTTAGAAGCTTTCTGGCTACATCTTCACGAAGCACAAAAGAAACAGACTCTCCGAGGAGCCGTTCCCACGACCTCTTGCTCGCGAGTTCGGGGCACTGCCACTGCGCTTCCTTGCTTTATAACTACGTTCAGAGAATCGTTTAGCAGATAAGGAAGGCAGTTCTGAGCTCAGCGCCTCGAGGCGACTTCAACGGTATACGACTCATTGCAAATGGCCGGACCGGCCTGATGACCTTCCCTCGTAAGTCAACTTATGTCAAATCCAAATAATGACACACCCCACTCCCAAAAGTCATAGATGCGATTTCCTGTCTGGTTCGATCAGACGCACGATTGACTGCTATTTGCTTGGTTTGCAGCCATTAAGCATTTGTACGAGACAAATGATGTTTCAGCAGTTTCCGCATTGTGTTCTCATTGATTTGGTATGTACACCGTATGGAAGCGTTTCAGCATTAGGACGCAATTTTCGGGAACACCCAAAAACTGCTTGGTCGCCAATGTGTTAACACATAGCAGTGCATCACATGGTGATGCATGGAACAATGATCTCTTTTGTTCGTTCGTCTCGTTTGTGTTATTTTCGGGTTTTCTTCAGGAATAAAGAGAAGAAGTAATGTACACACTTCAACTTTATTGGACAAAGATGTTGATACACACAGAAATACACCGTAACACTAAAAAACACACATGTCCAATAGAGGGGGGTCGCACTGACACCCCTTGAAATGGAGGGGGTCGCAAAAAATTTGGAATTTGCGCAACGCAGGGTTGACCCTG